GGGTTATTCTGTTGTTTAGAGAGATGAGAGAGAAAAAAAGAAAAGATAGATGAGAGGGAACAGTGATGGAGAGGAGACTTTGTGTTTAGTGAGAGAGAGAGAGAGAGAGAGAGAGAGAGAGAGAGAGAGAGAGAGATCCATTGGGGATGAGTGGGCCTTTTTTGTTTTTGTTTTATTTTCTTTTATTTTTAAATTATCAAAGTATTAAAAATAATTAAAAAAAGAGAAATTAAAAGGGTAAAAATGTCATTTCAAGTTTACCAGGGACCAAAAACACGGAAAAACCTTGATTTTTGACCAATTATTCAAGTGAGAATGTTTTTGGATCCCATCTAAAGTTTTTTTAATACTACATGGACCAATTTTGCAGTTTTGTCTTATTCTAACGTTGGCATCACTAGTTTTATTTAAATACACAAACTCGTCATTTGCAAAATGAATTTTGTATGACTCAAAAAGTTATTTTAAAGGTTAATCTCAAAAAAAAAATTTGTATTTTGTGGTTTTATTAGTCTTCAATTTTATTATTATCATATAAAAGACTTTGCATTTGTTTTTTATTTTTTCCTATCTAACAATTTTAGCCATTTTTCAAGAAAAAACTTGAGAAATATGAGGGGCTTTAGGAAGAAGTAAAAAGTTGTGGGTTTTTTCGAATATAGTTAAAAGGTTGAGGGTTTTTTTGAAAAAAAAGAGTTTGAATTTTTCGGTAAAAAAATACAAGATTTAAAAATAATAATAATTTTAAAAACCATAAAATATAAACTATTTTATGAGATTAATCCATATTGTAAATTTAAAACCTATAGATTTAGATGGGGACATGCAGTCAACATCCCTATACATATCTACCTTTCTTAATAAATGAAACATAAACATGCCACATGACGTTTTTCTACTACTCTAATTTGCCACGTGGCATGTCCTGGTAGATCTTTCCTTCTAATTCCCGTCTCTATCCTTAGTTCATCCTTAATTAATAAATTTAAATGTTTAATGTTATCCTAAAAAATAGATTCTCATTGTAACAACATCATATATTACCCCTTTGATTGAGGAAATGGGTTACACATTTAATTTTAAATCCCTAATCTTTCACTACTTTCCTTATCAGATTTAATTTTGAATCTTGATTATCTCCGTTTGCGCACCTATCTCTCAAAAGTTTCCTCCTTTGCGGATTCGCCTATATCTATTGTCTTCTGAATTTTTCTACTTCTCTGCTTCATCTTCTACTGCTATTTTCTAAACGCAATGTTGCAGCCTCCATCTACAAATCGCAGCTTCCATCCATGCTTCTCATTTCCGATTCTGAACGGCTTCAAGCAATGTCGTATTTTATGATTTTCATAGTGTCAATTTTTTTTATTTTACTCAATCTGATTATGTTAAGGTAATTTTTGTTCACTTTTAGGATTAGCAATTTTATATTAGGTTCAATGATAATTTTTTGGGGTTTATTTGCTATTTTTGTGATTTATGTCTTTGCTTATTAAATATATGTTAGCATAAAAAATGTCAGATGTCATCATTTTATTTGGAATATTATTTTTCTTGGGTTCCTGTTTCATTTAGTCTTGATTTATGTTTTTTCACTTTCAAATGACAATTTGACTAACTAGTTCAATATTGTGTTTCTAGGGCTAATGTTTCATTTACTCTTGATTTTCTTTATGATATTAATGTTGTTTGTTTTATGTAGGATTTTACTTTACAATATTAGACCTTATCAGATATGAAGATGAATGGTATGTGTTCATCTGTATGACCTCCAAATGTTCGATGAAATGTCTGGAAAATCAGTTCTATCTCAGGCTTCAAAATTGAACGAGAAGGAAAATTTAACTGCAGAATTCTGAAGAATTGGATTAGACTGAAGATGTTATAGTTGGACCTGCTAAAACTTTAAGGACTTTTATTGAGGTACTTCTAGCATGATTTTGTTAAAATTTCAAAAACAACTTAAAATGGAAGCAATCGGCCTTACGCATAGGTAGATATTTATTGGAAAAAGTTAAATGTTATGATCTGAAACTTTTAAACAAAATCATAAAGAGTGATTACTTTTCCATCTACAAATCCAAAGTTAACTTTGATGTTTGTACTAAACTGTTAGAACCCATTTTGCTCCCTTCTCAATCTCTTTGAATTAATCTACTTTGGGAATTACTAAATTCGAGTATTAGGGTTTGTTTCTTCTCCCCCATTAAGTCCTATACCGATAATGAGTAAAGTGTTGTTTATATAAAGATGACCACCTGATGCATAGACTGAAGAAGGTGATATACTAACATATAATTTCTTATCTAGGTCTCCAAGATTCAATGGTGCAATGTTTCAAGATCATATTAGAAGTGCTTAGTTACAAGTTGATAAGAAGAAAGGCCTCTGAGATGCAATATGAGTTGAGATTCAAACCAAAAGGGTGAGAAAAGAGAAATTTTGAAACATTTGTTCTCATTTTCTTTAATAAAATCAGAAGTTTTATTCATCGATCTATTTTATTGATGCTTTTTATAATAGGAAAAATTGAAAGGCCATAACCAGTCATTAAATGCACCCAATTTGGAGGAGATGGTTACCCGGTGGTTAGGTAATGGTCATAGTTTCATAGACTATTAGGTAATGACCTAATTTTTTTTTTGTGTTTTTTCATGTATGATTATTTTGTTGGAGGTATGTGGAAGAGTGAAAAAGAAACCGGAGGAGAATGTCAGTTGGTTCTGACAAAAAAAGTTGGGTTAAACCTCAAACGTACGAAACCAAAATGTACTTTCATTAATTATTTTGAGTGGATCGTGATGATCCGAGTAAAGTATTTATACATCTCACACTTGAATTTTTCTCTAAACAGGTAGCCTAACTACAACTTAAATTTTTATACACAATATCTCCCGATATGTTTTCAAATATATAATTATTTTTGTTCACATATGTTTAAAATTATTGATTATTTTGTTTCATTTGAAATTTGAGGCATGTGACTCTAAACGAAATGTTGTTGTTGGAAATATAGATAAGGAGGTAATAATATATATTGTAATTAGTTATTAATAGTTATGCGTTGATAAAATGTGAATTACATATGCCATATAGGATGTTGTCATCGGTTTTATGGGTTTACTCGGTCAAATTGGTTAAAATGGTGATCTCCTTTTGCTTTGGTTATATGCACATTTGGTATAATGTTGTTTGTTACACCATTTTACTTTGGTTTGAGTTGTAATGTATGTATCAGAATATGTTCTTAACAATGTACACTAATATGTTATTTTTCAAATATTGTTTCGAATATATGTTGCCGAAAATGTTCATTGGAATATACTTTATAGAATATCAATTGGAATACCATTTGCTTTTTAGATGTTTGCCAATGTAGTTTTCTTTATTTGTTAATGATTACTGCCTGCAAACCTGTAATTAATATTATGTTTTTTAAATTTTCAATGTTATTTACTTTGTCAATCGTGTTGTACACGGGTTATAACCTAGTATACAAGATCCGTCTTCTTGTTGATTTCTTCGTGAGTAAGCATTGAGAATAATCTATTAAAGACTTTTTTATTAATGAGTTGAACAACGAACTCCATATCCTCAGTCCTGAAACCAGCTAAACACGATACTCATGGATGGCATGAACCCGTTTTCAACTAATCAGTGGATACAAGAGTATCCCACCACAGAGATGACTCAATCCGGTGATGAACCCTCTAATGATACAAGCATAGCAGTCCATAGAGATTCGAGCCAAGGAACCATTGGCCAAACTGGTCCAAAGCCGATACGCAGGAAGTCAAGAGCTTCTCGGAGAGCACCAAGCATTGTCCTGAATGCTAGCGCGGCCGACTTCAGGGCCTTGGTTCAACGGTTCACCGGATGCGATAGTGGAGTTAACGTGGGTTCAGCTTTGGTTTTGGATCCAATTGTGAATTTACCAAAATGTCCTCTCAACATAGACTTTGCAAAAAATAGATATAAGTACTGAAAGTTCATCACGGTACTCATACTTTGATAATCAGGTGAGCTCAACTCTCCAAGGTGAGCATATGCAATCAGTTGGTGGCTTTGATTTGCAGGTTGGCTATGGAATGGAGAATGCTTCTGTTGTTTATGAATCCAGGGGCCGATCTTATATGGGGCTAAGGGGGCTGTGCCCACCCCCCCTGATTTTTGGCAAAAATAGTCCTTATACTTTAGTTTTATACATATTAGGCCCTAAAATATAAAATTTTGACTATGACCCCCATGTTCACCAATTTTTATACAAATTATATTTTCGGTCCCCCTCAAATGAAAGATTGAAGCTCCGCCAATGAATCTATTGATGAATCAACGTTAATGGCAACACGAAGAGATGGTGCCAGCCATGAGTATCCTCTTTAAAGGTGTTGAATGTTTAAGTGTTTATTATTATTGATATGTTTTTTCATTGATTTTTTTTCATTTTTTTATTTGTGTAGAATTTTCTTTAACGAGCCTAATTAAGCAGTTCTGTTTAATTAGCTCCGTTTGGTTAGCTTAATAACACACGATATCATTAACTATTAGGAAACACAACTGCTTGAACAAAAATCAATTATCAGGATCGAAACATTTAGTTGTCCAGTGTAGTACTGTTTAATACCTTGTTTTAGTCCACGAAATTGGGTTCATGTACATTACGATCAACGATAAAAAGTTGATCTAAAGTCATAAGATAGTAACAAAAAATTACTGAAAAAGCAAGGTAATATATTTTGGTTGTGTTTCATACACACCGTGAAAACAATGCATGAAGAGATTTGATTAGGGGTGGCAAATCGTGCTATCGTTTTGTGTTTCTGTCTGACACGACACGAAACGACTCGACAAAGTTTTATGTAACACGAACACGACACGATGTCGTGTTTTTTTAAGTAACATGAAAACGAACGAATTAAAAAACGATAAACACGACACGACACGAAAAATATAACATATAATAAAAACTAGTTTATTTAATGAATACTTAATCAAATATAACACGACAAACACGATAAAGAACCACTAAATCGTGTCGAATTTTGGACACGAACACGACACGACACGACATCGTGTTTTTTACAGTTAACACGAACACGACACGAACACAAATTCAAATTTCAGTTTCGTCCAATTTCGTTTCGTGTCGTGTATTTTTGTCGTGTCGTGTCATAAATTGTCACCCCTATATTTGAGTTCAGTTACAAAATGAATGTAAATAATAGATGAAACAAAGATATATAATTCAGAATGGGGAAAAAGAAGGTTCAAGAAATCAGAGACCAGATTTGTAAGGAACGCCGGTAGCTTTAATCCATTTGTCCCCGTCGATAAAACGTTTGACAGTGAACTTACTCGCTTGCTTGCTGGTTATAAATTTCAGTCCTTTCCAGGTGACTCTATTCTTTATCGCTGCACCTGCACCATAATTAGCAAACTCTGCATAGAATATTGTGTCGGGAGCTGTTGTTCCAACCCATGGCAACCATCCCTTTGGATGAATGAAGCTTCCCATCATGTTGTTAAGATAAGCTGTAGTTGAATGGTTCTTCCATGGACGACCGAGATATGTGTTAATATCGCTTAAGTTCCCATATGGCCAAATGGTGCACTTGTGAATGGAAATACCAGTGTTTTGATTAGGATCAAACTTGCCTTGAGCTGTAATCGTGTTTTGCTGGCCAGTCATCGGTCTCCTGGGCAATATGTTACAGTTTTGAAGAACAACAGCCGAGTTGCCAAAGATGAAGTCTACAGTTCCATAGATGTTGCATTCTTTATAAAATTGTCGGTTGGAATGTGCATATAGAGAATCCTGGAATGCGTCAATGCGACATCGGTAGAATACTGACAGGTCTGCGGTTGACATAAGTGCTACTGCCTGGTGCTTGGCTGCTCCAGCAGTGTTACGGAACCCCATATCGCGAGCTATAAACCCCTTACCAAACACAGCTACAGACACAAAATTAAATTAAGAAAAGGTAAATACAGTATGTGTTAAGCAGTTGTATATATATATATATATATATATATATATAATTACCAAAAGTTGCCGACTGAAATGTTGGAGTGCCATCCACAACGTTTAATCTTCCTGACACAATCGTAGAATCCTTACCATCACCGATCATCATGACATTCCATTTAGGTTTTTCGATCCTAACATTCTCAAAGTAAACGCCCTTCTTCACGTATATCACGAATCTTTTCTTGCTCTTATCAGGAACTGCCATGAGAGCGTCAGAAATTTTCTTATACTTTCCGGTGCCGTCTTGAGCCACCACCACATCGGCCTTCATGCCAGCCGGTAAATTTGTCTTCTGTAGGAGTTTTCTGTCTTTTACAGACAACCATTCTGGCATTTCATCGCTTCCTTCTGCAATGCTCATCAATCTTCTTCTTTGGTTGAACGAACTTGCGGCGTTTGAAAACCCCTTGGTGATCGCAAGGCTGTTGCTGGTTAACTCCGTGGATTTTTTAAGGTAGCCTACACCATTTTCTTGAATACTGTCTATGCATGTTTGCTGATATGTTCCAGCAGCACTTAGCCACGTCATTAGATCATCTAACAGAGATCCTATTGACTTCAAATCAATATCAGTCGACAATGTATCGTTGAGATGATCAATAGCAAGCTCCAATAGTTCGCTGCAGTTCTTGAGCTCCGGAAGTGTGGATGCTTTGGATAGCTCTTCTATGGCGACTAGAAAAGAGAGTTTGAGTAACTGATCAGGATGGATATTGGTGGAATTCACAAGAGGAGCTAGAGAGCTGTAACAGGTATCAGGGTACAATGTACTGTCACAAACGGCTTTAATGGAAACCATGGCTGATGGAGATTGTGAATCACCATCCATTTGGCTGTGGTTTTTGCTCTGTGTAGTTCCAACAACAGCTGAAACCACGACAATAACAAGAATAAGAGATGATATTGCTACAACAGCCATCCTTTTTCGTGTTTTCCTGTGAGCGTCAAGCCGCATTTGATCGGCTTCATGCACTTTCCCATAGGATTTTAAAGAATTCATAGCATTTGTTTAGCTTGAATTCTTTCTTGTACGCAAACTGGTTTTTTCGTCTGTCCAACACTTCATAATGATGGCAATTTATAAAACAAAAATCATGAGAAAAGAAACATGAGCTACGTGAACAGCACCTTGGTATAGATGTGTAATAATGCTTAAAAGAAAAGAACACAGCTGACTTTTCAAGTCGTACACGATTTTTTTACGTGTGTGTGTGTATATATATATATATATATATATATATATATATATATATATATATATATATATATATATATATATATATATATATATAAAATTGACAGTGGAAGAGATGAATCAAGGAGTTTTTCAATTGTTTTTATATATATCATAAAAGTTACAGGGGAATGACCTTTTATACGTGAGCCAAACAAACATAACAAACCTAACTGACTTCAAGGAAAAGATAATTATCATCCACATAAAAGATAAATACTACACAGATGTCTAGATAATCTAAACGGTATAAAATAAGTTCCATTACTCCCCCTCAAGTTGGAGCATGTAGATTACGAATGCCCAACTTGACAGCCAAGGCTTGAAGTCTTTCAGTTCCAAGTGGTTTAGTAAGAAGGTCTGCCAACTGATTTGTTGTATGAATGGCAACTGGTTCAATCTCTTTAGACTCGACTCTTTCTCGAACAAAGTAGCAATCCATTTCCACATGTTTGGTACGCTCATGGAAAACTGGATTATGAGCAATGTGGCGAGCAGACTGATTGTCACAGAAAAGCTTGGTAGGTGAAGAAACAGGAAAGCCAAGCTCAGACAACAACCATCGCATCCACAACACTTCACTAACTGTGGTGGCCATAGCTCGGTACTCAGCCTCTGCAGACGAACGAGATACCACAGACTGTTTCTTTGACTTCCAAGAAACAGGAGCGCCACCCAGCAACAATAAATAACCCGTTCTTGACCTCCTCGAGAACGGACATCCTAGCCAGTCCGAATCACTATAAGCCATGATATCATCTCCCTCATCTTTAGATAGAAGGATTCCCTGCCCCAACGTAAACTTTAGATAACGTAGCACACGCATGGCAGCATCCCAATGACTTTGTCGTGGGTCAGCAACAAATTGACTGAGTATGCTCACCGAATAAGAAAGGTCTGGGCGAGTGGCTTGTAAATAAAGTAATCGTCCAACCAAACGCCTATACCTGCTTACATCCACACGCTCTTCTTCATCACCTTTATCTAATTTTAAATGTTGTTCCATAGGGAACCGGCTAGGACGACAACCAAGTAAACCTGCATCCTCAAGAATATCGATAGAATACTTGCGTTGACTTAGGACAAGACCTTCTTTTGTTCGAGCCACTTCGATGCCGAGAAAGTATTTAAGATGCCCAAGATCTTTAATACTAAACTGTTCATCAAGATATCGTTTCGTTTCTTCAATTTTTGTACAATCATTGCCCACAACAATGACATCATCAACATAGATCAAAGCTGCAACAAAAATAGTCCCACTTTTGAAAGTGAACAACGAAGGATCCGCATGAAATGGAGCGAAACCAAGAATTTGTAAAGCAGCGGTAAACTTGTAGAACCAATTTCTAGAGGCTTGTTTGAGTCCATATATGGACTTTTTGAGTCTGCAAACTCGGTTGTCATTTTTCTGTCCGAACCCTTGAGGCATTTTCATATAAACCTCTTCCTCAAGGTCTCCGTGTAGAAAGGCATTATTCACATCTAGCTGATTAATTATCCAATCATTCTTGATGGCAATTGTTAAAAGGACACGGACTGTAACCAATTTAGCCACAGGTGCGAAAGTGTCGTGAAAATCTACTCCTTCCATTTGTGTATAGCCCTTAGCCACGAGCCTTGCTTTGTATCTTTCAACTTCACCGTTAGGCTTGTACTTGATTTTGAACACCCATTTGGAATCTATGGCGCGTTTACCTTTTGGTAAATATGTTACCGCCCATGTTTCATTCAACTCAAGAGCTTTTATTTCTTTGTGCATGGCCATTCTCCATTCCGGATCACGAGAGGCCTGTTTGAAAGTTTTGGGCTCATTGTGTGCCACAATGGCCACTAGAAAAGCTTTATGAGAGTTAGAAAATTTTTCATATGAAACATAGTTAGTGAGAGGATGTACTGTGGAAGCGACTTGATTGGGAGTACTTTGTGAGTGATTGACGGATGGGGGCAGTGTGACGTTGTAATCTTTGAAGCGAGCTGGTGGATTTTTGATTCTGTCGGGGCGAGCCGTTCTATCTGGGCTGGCAGAACTTTCAATATTTAACTCTGTGTCAGTTTCGTTATCATGGGCTTGCGAGGTATCTTGGACTGATGCAGCATTATGGGCTGACGGCGCTGTATCGGGCTCGTGCGTCGACTCCAGCGAAGGCGGAATGGCCACCTGTTGATCCGCCGGCTCCTCCACAATGGGCTCACTGTTGTATATTGGGCTGGGTTCATGCGTCCTGCAGCCTGCTTCAAATGTACATTCCTCAGACTCCACATTATAGTCTAAATTGCTCATGGGAAATGTATCCTCCAAAAAACGAACGTCTCTAGATATGACAATTTTATGGCTTTCCAAATCATAAATCTTATAGCCTTTAACACCTTGTAAATACCCCACAAATATTCCCGGTCTCCCACGAGGCTCGAACTTATCTCCGCCAGTTTCTGTGCTACGGTAGTATGCCAAACATCCAAATACTCGCATATTATCATAGCTAGGCTTTTGACCATAAAGAATCTCATAAGGTGTCAACCCATTCAAGACCTTTGATGGAATTCTATTGATGACAAAAGTAGCAGTTAAAATACACTCTCCCCAAAAATGCTTTGGTAAATTTGCCTCAAACCTGAGAGCTCGCGCTGTCTCGAGAAGATGACGATGCTTGCGCTCCACAACTCCATTTTGTTGTGGAGTGTAAGGGCACGACGTTTCAAGAACCATCCCTTCCTTTGCATAAAATTCTCGCATGGCATTAGATACAAATTCTCCCCCGTTGTCGCAACGTATGCGTTTTATTTGTTTATTAAACTGGGTTTTGATCATCCTGCAAAAGTCTATTAGACATGTACTAGCTTCATCTTTGTGTTTAAGAAGAAAGGTCCACACGACACGATTAAAATCATCCACTATGGTTAAAAAATAAAAAGCTTTATTTAACGAAGGAGTTCTATATTTTCCCCACAAATCACAGTGAATTAATTCGAAACAAGAAATCGTCTTTATTGTACTAAGAGGAAAAGGTAGCCTTGTGTGTTTTGCTTTGTAACAGGCATCACAATTCGTAGTCTTATTTGAAACATCTTTAATAAAATCTAAAGTAGAAATCTTCTTATTTCAGGGATGTCCAAGTCGCTTGTGCCAAACTTCAAAATTGACCATAAGAGCTTGATGCTTCTTTGCCTCCCCCATCCGGTACAACCCTTCTGAAAAGTTACCCGCACCAATCAAGTGCTTCGTTGACAGATCCTGCATCACAAAAAATCGTGGAAAAAAGGTAACGGCACAATTGAGGCTATTTGTAAGTCTCCCAACCGACAAAAGGTTATAATTGAAATCTGGCACGTGTAAAACACGATTTATTTTAATACCACCGGGCAAAAAATGAACACCTTCTCCCTCAACAGACACCTTTTCACCATTAGGGATGACAACAAGTGTCTCTTTCGGGTTTTTAGTGACATTTTCTAAAAAATCGATTCGATGGGTGATGTGTTCAGTAGCTCCTGAATCCACAACCCATTCGCCATTAGAATCAATTTTACCTGCCATATGTGCCATTGGTTGAGTGTTTTTACCGTCCACAATGTTCTCCTCCTTAAAATGGTTCACGAACAAGTGATATTGCTCGTCAGTCAAACCTGCGATGGGGCTAGGCCCAAGCTCAACACATGCTGCCTTGGTTCGTGGTTTGTCTTTCTTTCCGGGCCACCAGTCGGGATAGCCGATTATCTTGAAACACCCATCTCTGTTGTGTCCTTCTTTCGAACAGAAAGTACAATACTGCTTTTTATCATTTTCTGATTTTTGATACTTTGAAGTGCCTTTGTCAGAGGGCTGTTGTGATGACTGTGATGACTGATATTGCTGCCTCCCTTGATTTTGTTGAGCACCCTTGCGATTTGAGTGATTAACTTGAAATGCAGTCGCTTCGGCATTCGGCCTCTTTGACCCTGTTGTTATTGCTCGTTGCTGCTCATCTTCAGCGAGAAGGTGGTAAACAGTGCTTAACGGGGGTGTGGGTTTCATCGCTAAGATCTGGGTACGAATCACCGAAAAAACGTCATCCAGACCCATAAGAAAGTCATATGTCCTTTCCTTTTCTTTCAGGTCGTTTAACATCTTTCCAATATTGCATTTACATCCTTCACAGGCACAACAAGGAGTCGGGAGAACGAGTTGCAACTCATCCCAAATCGATCTCAACTTGGTATAGTAATTAGAAACAGTCGTACCTCCTTGTCTTATGGCGTTTAGGGTCTGCTTAAGCTCGTATGCTCGTGGGGCTCCCTCCTTCTCGAAACGTTCCTCCAAATCTCTCCATATTTCCGACGAGGTCTTCGCATACCTCACGCTGGTCCTTATCTCTCGCTCCATTGCAGTCGTCAGCCACCCTTTTATCATAGCATCAGCCCTCACCCATGCAAGAGACATCGGTGATCTGGCTCCTGGTTTCTCGATGGTTCCGTCGACTAGTCCCATCTTGTTTTTCGCCAACAAGAAATTGGTCATCTCTTGTTTCCATTCGTTGTAATTGTGATCGTTCAAGACATCATTCACTTGCATCTGTTTGGGATAATCAGACGGGTGAGTATAGTATGGCGAGTTGACATCAATCGTCTCCCCACTGGTTTCTTTTCCTGAACCTGTTAGTTTGTCTCCCGCCATGATCTATGACGGATTTTAGAGTTTCTTCTAGATCGTTTGCTCTGATACCATAATAAAATTGACAGTGGAAGAGATGAATCAAGGAGTTTTTCAATTGTTTTTATATATATCATAAAAGTTACAGGGGAATGACCTTTTATACGTGAGCCAAACAAAGATAACAAACCTAACTGACTTCAAGGAAAAGATAATTATCATCCACATAAAAGATAAATACTACACAGATGTCTACATAATCTAAACGGTATAAAATAAGTTCCATCATATATATATATATATATATGAAAAAGTTCAATAGAGAACCATAATTATTGGTTCTTCAAAAAACCAAATCTTTTTTTTCAATTTCTAGAGCTTATTCTTTATCGAAAAAAAAATCTAAAAATATCTAAATTCATATATTAACATTATCAATGTGAAAAATATTTTTCGGATTCACCGTGTGAATCCGGATTCACATTGTGAATTTTCAAAGATTCACATTGTGAATTTGACGTAAAAAAAAAAATTCGAATTTGATATCATTGGAAAAATGATAAAAAGTTATGAATTTCTGTATTTTTAGTTTTTTTTTTTGATAAAAAATAAGTTCTAAAAGTTGAAAAAAAGATTGGTTCCTTGGTTAATTATGGTTCACTATTGAACCTCACCCTATATATATATATATATATATATATATATATATATATAGTGTTGAGGAACTTTTGGGCCGCGTGTTTTTTTGGACCAACACGACGTGTTGGTGGGCAAATACGGTGTGTTGGCGGCTGGTTGAGAAAACCCTAATTTTTAAGGTTTTGCACCCTATATAATCTCCTTAAGTCCCAATGGGTGGTCTTTTATCAGTCTCCAACTCCCCATATCGACCCTTGAGAACCCTAATCATCTTTCCCTCTCATTTGTGAGCTAGTGTGGTGTTTTTGGAGCCAAAGAAGAAAGTAGTTGGAAGAAGGAAGTAAGGATCCAGCAAAGAAGCCCTCATCTTTCAGTTTGGCACTCTTTTGGACCTTTGTAAGTGTCCAAGATCAGATTTTTATTCCTCTATGTTGCTAGATCTTGAGTTTTTCTCCCTTTAACTTGTTGTTCTTAAGTAAGGGAATGGTTGGATCTCATAAAGTCAATAACTTTATGAATCTCCGGATCTAGGTGACCTTGTAGAGTCTTGGATCTGGCCTATAGTCGAGTTTTGATGTAACATCGTAAATTTTCAAACAAAAATTTCATTTTTAAATCACATAAAACTCAATATCACATTTTCTCAAAACCACAATGTATCATTTGTCGAAATCACAAATCAACAAAACAACTGATAGTATCCCAGAATCCTCAAACATAATCTCGAACAAGTGTGTAAAATCAAGCCGACGCCTTCCCGCGATCCTAAGAAGTATCTGAAACACATATCACACAACACAGTAAGCACGAAGCTTAGTGAGTTCCCCAAAATACCACATACACAAATAATAAGCCTCTCATGGCTATAGCTCGGCATGGACCCTCCGGTCATGCGTCTCGGTGAGGACCCTCCGGTCTCACGGCTCAGTGTGGACCCTCCGGTCGTGTGTCTCGGTGAAGACCCTCCGGTCTTCACAGCTCGGGTCGGACCCTCTAGTCCTGTATCTCAGTGAGGACCCTCCGGTCTCACAACTCGGTTTGGAGCTTCCGGTCCTACTCAGTAAGGCGCAGAATAATATATCATATATCACAAAGACAAGATGCATAATATCACATAACTCAATATAAGCACATAGGACCCTCTGGTCGATAACTCAAATAAGACCCTCCGGTCACACATTATTACCACTCAGGTAATATAGTGAGAAGACTCACCTCGTATGTAAGCAAGTAGATCTAGTACCCCACGAACAGTCTAGACTCCGCCTACATAGTATAATTATCTCTAATCAAGAATTTGTAATAACCACCAAGCTAACTCTTCTACTAGGTCTCAAAAGGGTGAAAAGACCATTTTACCCCTCCATGGTCTCCAAACTCCACAATTGACCAAACCCTAAAAGTCAACGGAAGTCAACACTCGAGTTAACAGTTCCTGTTGACCCAACTCGACGAGTGCACCTATGTGACTCGTCGAGTTCCTCCTGTCCTCAGAAGAATCAAGAAAACTCAAACTCAACTCGTCGAGTTGTCTCATCAACTCGTCGAGTTGTAGCGCGTTCAGACTACCGGGGAACACCCTAGCTGACTCGTCGAGTTGGCTCATGCACTCGCCGAGTCCCTCTAGACCAAATTCTCATTCAGATGATTCTAAGCAGAAATAAGGTCCCTAACTCTAGATCTAGCCTCCCAAGGCTGAAATACCACGTAAAGCTGCAAGTTTTACGTCCATGCATGGCACCTAGGGCTCGAAATGCCAAAACAAACTCTATATAGGGTTTAATGCATAAAAGCTTGCCACTATCTTGATAAAGCTTGGACTTTTGGGCTCAAGGGACCTCCTATTGTCCAGATCTGAAGTCTCAACTCCATGGCAAGCTCAAATAACTCCAGAACTCAAAGAAGGATGGAAAAAGGCCATAATCTCCCTAGAAAAGGGATCTAACCAAACAATGAGCAAGGTGGTAACTTTTTACCTTCAAACAGAAGCTAGGGATGAATGAACACCGGATCCA